GAGGATTTGAGATGAGAGTCAGTTTTTGTAGTAAGAGACGATGCCAGAATGCCCACTAGATTTTCAGATGAAGGGGGAAGAGTCGTCGGAACTGGAGTTTCAAACGAGTTGTGCCTTTCCAGTGATGGGTGTGGGACTTGAAGACATAGCCTACTCCTTTATAAAGGAGGCGTTCGTTGGCCGGAGAGATCTTAGAATTTGAATTTTAAATTTATGATGGAGATTTTATTGACATATCTATATTGACATTGAATTAAAAAATAATAATTTTCAAAATAAAAAATTAATTTAAGCTGCTTTCAAGGAAGGAAATTTTAGAGTTTTAAAAAAGGACTTAACAATTTATTAGTAAGATTAAAAACGAACTTATTGACCTCAATTCAAAGAATGTCCATAATTTATAAGTGTGTAGTAATAGTCCAAATAAAAAATTTAATTTCATGCCCAAAAAATTTATTTCAATTTAAGTAGATTGGACCAATAATTAGCCGTAAAATTAAAAGGCCCTAATTTTAAAAAAAAAAAAAGAAAAAAAAAACTAACAGTAAAAGTAAAGTTACTAAAAAATTTAGTCTTAACCCCCAAAAAAATTAAGTTTCAACTTATCATTATAATTTTTCAATTATTCTCTCTTTCTTACAATCAAGTACAAATATGGTAACAAACTTAAATATAAAATTTTAATTAATATTTTTTTAAAAAAAAATTAAAAATTAGATTTAGTATTAATATTAAAAATAAAAATATCTTATTTATTATTTTCACTTTAGACCCCAAAATGTCTAAGAGCGTGCCCCTAACTCGACCTCTTGGTAATACTCGAAATTGAGTTTCATCATGTTGAGTTACTTTTTATAAAATGGACCGATAACTATAGAATTTTACTAACTTCTGAGTCATTTTAGATTGGTGAGAGACACGTCCACAAGATATTACATTCTCTCCCCATTTCACATCCGAGGACATCTCTAAGGACTAGGTAGCATAGTCCCCTAGGTTGGGGTCTTTGCATATCTAGACATTGATTATGGTGATGTTTGATAAAATTGAATGGTGAAGTTTAAAAATTTTAAAAATTGAATATTAAATTCATGGACTATTTAACACCCACTGAAATTTATGTACTTAATTGAATCAAATTGTTTGATAATTACACAAAGATGACGTCTGAAAATAAATTAATTTTTAGTTTTACCCTTCCTTTCTTTATTTTGAAAATATTTATAAAATATATTTTTATTTAATAAAAAATTAAGATATATCTAATCAGTTTAATTCACAACATAAATTATAATAACTATTATCATATTATAGTCTACATATTGAATAACACAATAAATGAACAATAACTAATAAATATTCAAAAAATATTTAACAATAAAACAAATTAGAACATTTAGGGTCATTTAGTAACATTTTTGTTTTCACGTTTTTAAAAACATCAAAATAGAGACAATTTTTATTTTATTTTATGGTAAACATTGAAAACATAAAACATGTTTGAGAGTCATTTGTGTTTACCAAATTATGAAAATAAAAAAAAATATGTTTGACAACCCCTTCAAATTATATCCTTTACGTTCCTTATTTTTTCTTTCAACAATGTTATTGCGATTTAAGAAATTAAATTAATTTGATGAATTAATGATATGGTCAATAATATACATTACTTTTATTTTTATTTAAAAATTTATGATGATTGATAATTGATTGAAATAGTGATCTAAATGATAATTCAATCTCAAATGGCAATTCAATCCCAATTCCAATTCAATCACAAACGCAACACACAACACAAAACACACACACACACAGAGCACAATATGCAGACCCAGCACATAGAACACAACACACAAAACACACACACACAGAGCACACGAAAGACACACACCCCCCAGCACACATAAACACATACACCCAAAACACACACACACAGAGCACACGGAACACACACACATTCATGTGCATATATGCACAGATTTGTGTATATATGCATATATATACACATTTTTGTGTGTGTATATATATAGAGAGAGATAGAGAGAGAGATGAGATGAGATGATAGAGGGAGAAAGAGAGAGAAAGAGAAAGGGCTTACCTCCCCATCAGTGAGAGAAATGAGAGAAGATGGTTGCTTCCTGTCTGTGAGAGGGTCAATAGAGAGAGTGAGGCAGTAATGGAGAGGAGAAAGAAATGAAGTGGGTTTAAATAGTTTCACGAAAAAAGACTATTTTTGCTGCTAAGGAAGTTTGAAATTCGGATCTCATTAACTCTCTTAGTACATGTTTTGGTTTTGCCTTGTTTCCGAAAACATCTTTTTTTTTTTTTGTTTCTTGTTTTTGGGCCATGTTTTTGAAACATCTTATTTTATATAAAACAGAAACATTAACCCAAACATGTTTTTGTTTTTATTACTCAAAAAATGAAAACAAAAAAAAAAAACATGAAACAAAAACATAAAACAAACAGTGTGTGTGTAGTGCATGTGTGTGTAATTGTGTGTATGTGTGTGCAACACGTGTGTGTGTGTGTAATTAAATGTGTATGTGTGTGTGTAATTATGTGTGCGTGTGTGTGTGTGCGAGCGTTGCAGAAGACCAGGGAAGAAGACTTACCACTAGCAAAAAAAAAAAGTAAGAAAACTTACTTATGCCGTTGAAGAAGACGATGGGAAAAGACGACGAAGAGGACAAATAGATTCGGGATTTTGGATAGAAAACTAATTAGAGTTTTAATAGAATTGTAAAATATTTTATGATAGAATTGTAATATTATAAATATTATTAAAGATACTCTTTTGAGCACTTTTAACTTTCAGAATTAAGTAAGGGATCTCCTACTTAATATTGTAACCTATTTTTAAGGAGTACTTAATATATTAAGATATGTAAATTTTAATTATAAAATAAGTTTAATTAATAAGTGTCGAATATATTCATTTTAAGTGTTGAATTTGGGTTGCTTCATTCAACGTAGTGTTCGGGCTCATGTGCCTTCAAACACACACACACACACATGCATCACTCCACTCACCCCAACGAAACCACTGCATTGGCATCCATCTACCGACCAAACAAATACCTTCATCGCAGAAAACCTTCTGCCTCAAATTGGTCTCTTCTCTCACATATCTACATTTCTCTCTTCCAAGATATATCAACATATTGGTGGTGGTGGTGGTGGTGGTGGTGACAGATCTGAGGTGGTGGGGGGATGGAGGGGTGGTGATGGTTCAATTCTAAGGTGGTGGTGACAGATTTTGGATTCATTTTTTCGTTGGTTTTGGTTGATGCGGTGGAGAAGGATGTGTAGATGGTGGTGTATGGTGTAATGAACAAACACTTTACTGTTGCAGAGGCACAGATATATTTATTATACTTTAACCTTTTTAACTTTCTTATTGAAATTAGTATTAATAATGTGATGTCTATGATACTGTTTGATTCTAAAGTGTGTAATTTTGCCTATATGCCATAGAAAATCATTGCCCAAAAATTCTTGGATTTTAAACAGACTGGCAGGTACATGTTTCATATTACAAAATGCCTTTTGGTGGATTGCTAGGTGGAATGATGCCTACTGTTTTGGTAAGAGTTATATCGGCCCACAAGTATTATTGTTGGTTTCATAATTTTTTGCTTTTTGTCACTTTGATTTCACTAGTTGTGTTGTGTGGATCACTCTCTTCAAAATCTAAAACTTCAGTTAACATTGATGATTAAGCTATATGAAGCCTGTACATTGACCTTCACACGGGGTTGGGGAAGGCTTCCTCATTACTTGTTTTGACACAATCTTAACTTTGCTTTCATAGGAGAAAGATGCACCAAAAAAACCTGATGGTGTTAAAGATTAATTATTTAAATATCTTAGACTACTATCAGTTTCTCAGCAAAGCCAGTAGGTCAGACGTTGCACAACAGCCACCAACAAAGAGTTCCTTTTCCCCTTCTCCAAACATTATGTGCATACAACGGGCAGGGGCTCAAAGGCTTAAAATGGCAGCTGCAAAATCCTTCAAGGCTTGTCAATTGAGGTGAATCTACCACCTCTTCCAAAGTGGTGCCATATTGCATGACTCTGTAAATGCCGGTGGCCCCAGATTAAATTAAATTGACAACGCTTGGATTATCAGATTGTTATTGCATGAGATCAAGTAGAATCAAACTTAACCACAACACCAATGTTGGACGCTAGAACTGAACAAAACCAATGTTGTGTGTATTACTAGCGTTATGAAAACAAAACAACCAGGTTTCCTAATTTTAAGACAAAATGAAATCACCAGTATCCAATGGAAACAAGTCATTTGAAGACACGCATACCGAGGAAAAGAGATGGATGTTTAAATCAGCACCTCAAAATGGGGGTCATGGTATCCTAGAGGCCAAGTGCCTACTTTAAACTGCAAAAACATTCGCAACGATATGACAACCATTGTGTTCCAGTTAGCAACAGAGAGCTCTCGTGCTGGTACCGAACCCTGACCTCTCCTTTTACCCCCCACGACCATGGCATTCCCGTCAATTTCTGGAAAAGGTGAGACCAGTTCCAACTAAAAATTTTTCAGCAAATGGTTCCATATAGCCTTTTTCTTCAGATAGGCAAGTGGTTCCCCAAAGACACCCATGCCTGCCACCACCAAAATTTTAGCATGCAAAAAAATCATCCACCGTAACAAGGAGTGAATAATACAAACCAGCCATAAGAAACAAAGTTGTTTTCGTTTCATATAGTGCTAGGCTATTGGAAAAATGACCCAAAAAAGTAGTGCAATTCTTCCTTTTACCAACGCCAGGCAAACAAGGGAAACAACAATAAATAGAACAGTTACATCATCATAGTTGTGGTGGTCACTGGTAGATTGCTCCAAAAGTGGTGTGCATTCTCCATGATTATTATCTACAATGGAGAAATAGAACACATGTTGCATTCCTTATACATGCACATCAAGTGACCACACATGCAACTTCAAGATGCGCAAAACTCACATTTTTTTTCCATTCCCTTCCTATAATCACTTTTTGATGCTCTTATATCTACAGTTACCATTGCAATGAACTCAAGTAAGCATTAATCAACTATGACCAGGACTTAATAAATGGTAAAAACAGTCATCTTCAATGTCCAACTATAAACTAAGATGCACCCTAGATGCTTTTAGAAGTGTATGAAGATAACTGCAAAACATTAAAACAGATCAGGACAAGCAAATTAGACTCTTGCAAAAACAAGTGCATAGGAAATTAAGAATCACAGTGACACAATACAAAAGCAACAATGACATGAAAACACAAATCAAATGGCAATATCTCCACGATTACATCTTGCCCAACATTTATCACGCATACCTAATAGGGATTTGAAAAACAATTTCAGAATCATGCAGCAGAGACAGCATCAATATTCAGTGCTGACAGCCAGATGCTTCATCCTCAGTCCTCCTAGTATGGCTCAAGTGTACAAAAAGATAAATGGTAAATTTTAGTATAAATTACCTTAGCACTACTTTTTATTTTTCTTCTTCGATTTCTTTTCTTGGGAATGCTCTAAGGACCCCGAAGAAGTAACTGCACTAAGACCTCGTCCTGAATCTTGAGCAGAATGGTCAATGGATATAGTGGGTCCATCGACATGTCTTCTTTTTGAAGGATTTGATAGCTCCCCTGCTCCAGACATAGAACTCCTAGGCCTACTACTATGTGAGAAGGCTGCAGTACCACCTGCTGATTGTGAGTTTCTCAGCCTAAGATTTTGAGTAGGAGTTGCAAAAGTTCCAGAAGACCTCTGATACAGCTGTTTCAGATTCTTGGTATTGTCTTTTTGGAGTTCGGTAGGCTCGGGGTAATGGACAAGCGAAACACGTCGTGAAATCTTTCCAACTGTAAATGAGAGAACAATATCATATGAGTGCAAATACTAAAATATTAAGACAATGGCTACTCACTCAAATCCCCTGTATAAAAAGGAAAAGTAGAGCATATGACCATTCCACTCCAGACCAAATGAACAAACCAAAATATATGTATGCAACTTGACAATTTGATTGCATAAAAGATTGATGTAATACCTTTCCAAAGGGAGGTCAACAATGAATACCATACACTTACTTAGGGAACTGATAAAAAGGGAAACCAGAAAAATAAAAAAGACTTCCATATGATTTTTAAACTTAGAGAAGACATATGATAGCATTCTGATCATTTTGAGTGCAGTGATTTTAGAGAGAATAACAAAATGATAGACTAGTGAATTCCCAAATCATAGTAGACTTACTTCAGGTTTTTGTTTTGATTAGGAATTTTGGAGAGGAGTATTAGAGTTAAGAAGATATAAGATATTTTCCAAACAAAAAAACTAAAAATGAATCAATAGAATGCAAGTTGAGTAAAAATAGAAGTCTAATTAGGTGTAGCATAATTGACTCCAAAAAAAAAAAAGTGTAGCATAGAACGAATATCAAGAGATATCAAACAATGAACAATATTGATTTTTGGAAGAAATCTTGCATAGGAAAAGTGAGATGGAAGAAAAGATGTTACTCAAAAATTAAAGCACAAATGACAAAGTGAACTAATGCATCTAAGGCAATATGTGATCTATATATATCTTTTAACTCGGAAAGTCAATTCTATAAGAGAACCATAAGATTCACCATGATTTATGATATTGAATGTTGGACAATTAAAAAACATGATAAGAAAACTAAGTGTGACAAAAAATGAGAATGTTCGGATGGATGTATGGTGATTTTTTAAAAATAAATATAGAAATGCGTATAAGACATAAGCTAAAAGAAAATCAACCTAAATCATTTGGATATGTTATTAAAGATCCAATAATACACCAATGATGAAGAGTGACGATATTGGAATTTATTACCAATACACAGCCTTTTTTAAACTTAAATACCGATGTACAGCAGTTTTGAACTTATTTAAACGGCATTTTTTGAAAGCTGATTTGTTGAATCCGCTCTCACTTATAAAACAGAATCAACAAATCCGCTTTTAAATATAAAAAGTGGAATCAATAAATCCACTTTCAAATAAAAAAATAATATTTTTGACCATATTTGTCAAACTAACATTTTTCAAAACAGAGTTATCAAATACGTTTTTTCAAAAAATACGCGATTACCAAACACGTTTTTATGTTTAACTGCCTTTGAGAATGTGCTTATTAAACAGACTTTTATTTAAAAATATGTTGGATACCCACGCTTTTAAAGCTAAATTGAAAAAAGTAGCTAATGGACTCTCACATACCTCCACCACCTTCTTTCTCTTCAACAGATCTCATCCCCCTACAAGTCCTCTTCTAGAAGCTTTATGGCCTTAGTTTCTAATTTAATGTCACCAAATTTCGGAAGGTGGAATTTATAGTGGTGTTACAGAAATTTCGAATGAAGGGTTTTTAGGCGGAGGAAAAGGAAAGTTGGAAATTGAATGCCGTTGAAGAAGTGATGAGGAAGAGGATTGGGTCTTTTTAGTTTACATTTCTGTGTCTTTATGACCAAATGGAGATCTAGAAATTAAGACAAATAGGGTTTGAGACAAAGTTCTTTGAATGTCGGTGAAAAGAGTTATGTGTGTGTGTGTGTGTGAGAGAGAGAGAGAGAGAAGTGGGAGGTAGACTCGGAGAAGGTGGAAAAAAAAGGATTCAGACAATTTTTTATATAATTTGGTGACTTTAAATTAGAAACTAAAGGCCATAAAGCTTCTAGAAAATGACTTTTAGGAGGATCAGATCTGTTGGAGAGAAAGAAGGTGGAGCTATGTGAGAGTCCGTTAGTTACCTGACTTTTTTTCAATTTAGCCTGAAAGTGTGGGTATCAAACACACTTTTAAATAAAAGTCTGTTTAAGCACATTCTCAAAGGCAGTTAAAATAAAGGCGTGTTTGGTAATCACGTTTTTTTTTTTTGAAAAAACGTATTTGGCAACTCTGCTTTTGAAAAATGTTAGTTTGGTAAATATGATAAAAAATATTATTTTTTTATTTGAAAACGTATTTATTGATTCTGCTTTTTATATTTAAAAGCGGATTTGTTGATTTCGTTTTTTATATTTAAAAGCGGATTTGTTGATTCCGTTTTATAGTGAAAGCGGATTCAACAAATCCGTTTTCAAAAAATGTCGTAGAATGATAAATAAGTTCAAAATTGCTGTACATCGGTATTTAAGTTTTAAAAAGGCTGTATATTGGTAATAAATTCAAGTAATGCTAGGGAATAGGGATAGAAGAAGATCAAAATGAATTTTAAATAACATTGTAAAAAGGATATGATACTCTGTAGATTCGAAGAAAATATGATCTTTGATTGGGAATAATGGTGAAACATCACTTTTGTAGTCACCCCAAATAATTAGTACACTCTTTCCAAAAGGGAGACAAATTCACCATTTGAAAATTTAGATCTAGATATCCTATTTTATACACATAAACCTGAAACCTATCTATGAGAAATAAAACTCGTAAGGTTTGTATATGACTACTGCATTGGGTTGAAAAGGGTTTTGAGTTCAAAAGTTGCTTGAGATGAGACAAGATTAAAAAATAAAAAAAATAAAAGAAAAGTAGAAAAAGTCGGGATGATTTAGAATCAACTAATTTGTTTTTCTCCTGGTAAAAGTTAAACTTAATTAAATCCGTCAACTCCATCTAGAACTTGATTCTAAAAGCCTTGCATCTATTTTCATACACAAACACAGATTAAAATATGATGCAGAATTCACTTTGAAAACAATGTATGAGCACATCAATTACATGTACAAAATAAAATAATACTCTTAACATAGAGATGCAATGGTATTTATGCAACATTTATAAGTTTATGACTATGAATAGCCACAGCAATACCAGCAGATAAAGCCCTAAAACATAATTGTAATGTAAATTCCTATCTAATAGATTAGCTTTAGCTTTATAGTTGATTATAATGACATATAATGTCAATAAGGTTTGTTCAAGTAACTCAGTTCTTAGGTTTAACCATAGCATTGCCCGCAGCACTAAAGTTTGTATTCGAGCCAAAATAACAAATTACAACTCGGATGCTGCCAAAGGCATATCTAAACCTGCTAAAACCTATGGGGCATTTTCCAATAGTCCAGACATTGCAAGAAGGAAACCAATGCAAAGACATTCTCGCCAATATGGGAGAGAAGCAAGAGGAGGGACCGGTGGAACTTTTAGTTCCACCTCACCAACAGTTACAAGCCCTCAGGGCAGACTTGATTAATGTAGCTTTTGTAAGGGAGGTACCACCCCAAAAAAAAAAAAAACACACAAAAAACCTATAGGGCATTGCCTGTACATTGTCAAACCATTAGATAATTGTGAGCAGGTATGTGTGTCTAAATAGCATTACAAGTAAGCTGTTTCACAATACAATCATGACAGCCATAAAGATAAAACTGAAATTTTCAAGATCCAAATAATAAAAAAAAAAAAAAAAAAGAAAGAAAGTTGCGCAGGAAAATGCATACCAATTTTTGAGTCCGTGGAAGAAGGTAAGAACACTGTTGCGTCTGGAGTTTGGGCTGTGAAACTGACCACGTCATATGACTTTCCTGTAATTTGTTAATATCGACCTATTCATCAGGAGATAAAATTAAAGTTGCTTAAAACAGCAAAAGGTTTTTTTTTTTTGGGGGGGGTTTGGGGAGGGTAAAAATTGAACTTAGCCCCTATTCATAATTATTAAGAGATATACTTTACTTGCCAGATGAACCAGCAAAAGTGCCCAATAGTCCATTTTGATGAAGATTCAGTGAAACTTCTTGATCATCAAAATCAGGAGGCTGCCACACTCAAGAATAAGCAAACTGAGAGCCAGAACAACCGAAACAAAAGTTCACGAAGAATGAGGTAAAAGGTATAGATTAAGGATAAAGCAAAACAAAAACAAAATATTACATGATTAATCGGCCATTGGATAAGCCAAAGTTCAGTCGAGTCGGTTAGATTAAGATCAACTAGTGACTCCTTTGTATCCTCCTGAAATTCCGGCGGCGGTTTGTAAGCTAATTCTTCAGTACCATCCATTGCTTCAACGATTCCAACTCACCACCTCTCTTAATGAGACTCAAACAGACGACGGGAAGACGCTATACCAGAGAGAGCGAGAGAGAGACGCGACGGAGAGACGCAATACCCTAGTACATCACTAATCCAATCTGATCTCATCTATTTTATCTTTTCGGGGAATCTCTGTGCCACCGCGTTGGCTACGTACGGAAATTATTATTTTACGATAAAATTATAAATTTAATACATGATCGACCTTGGTGGACTTTTTTATAACTTAAAATATTTTATTGTAACTTGAAAATTAAAACTTACGCCTTAAAAAAATTATAATTTATATTAAAAAAATTTGTAATGTAACTTGAAATTATTGTAACTTTCGATACAGTATCTCATTCGGTACGAGAGCCTTTCCCATCTTTTTAGGTTACATGACTAATCTATTCTCTCTCTTTAAATACGAATTATTTATCACATAACGGTATTTTTTAAACAAATATGTTAAATTACGGAGCTTTTAAAATTATTTATCAAATTATAACAATTTTTAAAAGAGAATTCAACAATCCTGTTTTTATTAAAAAAAAATAGATTTAATAAATCCACTTTTATTAAAAAGTAAAATCAACAACCCTGTTCTTAAATTAAAAAATAAAATAAAATTGGGCAACAATAAAAATGTGATTTTTAGGTTTTTTCTGAAAAGCATGTTTACTAAACAGACTTTTCACACAAAAACAATTATGCATCTATCTTCATCTAATATCTTGTTAGCCAGCTTGTTATGAGTATACATTAATGATGTAGAAAATAGGTTATGCAGAATCAAACAGTCAAGTGTATGAAGACAAGGTAATTAATGAAGTAATTAATAACAAAAGACAAAGATTGGATGGTTGGGTTTAGGTGACCAAACCATTGAAGATAGTGACGATGGCCGAAAAAATTTATTAATAAAGTAACAAGTGAGAGAGAAAGAGAGCAAGAATAAGCTCAGGGTGTAATGTATGAGAGATAGCTGTGTGTGAGATGTCCCTCATATATAGAGGGCTTACAATTTATAGACGTAAAGCCCTAGTTGAAGCTGTGGCGTGAAGGTCAGATCACTAGCCTCTCGGGAAGGAGAGCCACAACTAAGGTTAGATACAATTAAGGATAGGCGTGATCTTCAAGGAGGGGCTATCTCGATGTTTACTCTCCACGTGCATGCTCCTTGAGACTCTAGCAAGTTGGACTGGATTGAGGCCATGAATTGAGACAAAAGGGGTCGAGGGTACGAGTGAGCTCCTTCATCTGAATAGACAAAAGTTTCTTGTTCTACACGGTGGTAGCTTCCTCAACTTCTTGCTCTGTTTGCACCTCGGGAGCTCACTTTTTCATTTTTTTTCGTTCTCATGCTGGACACCTACTATGCCATCAACATCTAGAGGAGACTTCATCCCTTCATATTAAAAAACCCCTTTTCTCCACCAAGGGCACTATTCTTAGGGTTTCAAGAGGTCAGCATTTATAGAGTCGCATTTACTTCTTTTCTTTGTAAATTTTTTCTTTGAAAGTTGGAAACTTCCATTAAAGGTTGTGAGAGGTTGAAGAAGAGGAATTCCATTGACGTTGTTCCGGGTGAAAACCAATCAAAGGAGAAGAGAAGGACTACCCAAGGCAGCGCATGAGAGGATGACATCAAGGGAGCAGGCTACGAGGAGGTACAGTAGCTCAAAGGTGAAAGGAGAGAGATGGGCAACATCAGTACGCCAGCCCAGGTGTTGGGTGCCACTAGCAAGACACTAGGCGACGTCTTACATCAGTTAGGCGACAGCGGGAGCAAGTCAGGTGACACCACTGTGTCGATCTAGGCGTTGGGCAACGTTAGCGAGGCGCTAGGTGCTAGGCGGCACCATTGCACTGGGCGACGTTGGGAGTAGATTGGGCAATGCATGGGTAGCCAGCGACGGGCGAACTACGCTGGGCGACGACCAAGGCAGGCCAGGCGGTGCCAAGAGCATGGGTTACGCACTAGACGATGACTGAAGCAAACCAAGCGTCGCCAGGAGCACGAACTGGGCATTGGGCGAACTTCGGATGGTGCTGGGTGACGGCCGAAGCAGGCCAAGTGGTGCCGGTGACGCGGGCGATTGCAAGCAAGGGCACGGAAACGGTAAGACAATTCTATCCTTAACCTGATATTTACTTGATATTTCCACTTCCTTGACATTGGTCATGATTTTGACAGGGCCCATCCTGACAGAGGCATAACGAGGAACAATACAATAAACTCCCCGCGAGGCAAAGGTACCACTGACAGTGACCGTTCGAAGATAACCTCTACCTTTAGTTTCATAGATTGTGATGATGACATTGCCCATATTGTGTCATTTTTCCATATTCTTCCTACTATTATATGCCACCGAGCCGAGAGAGACGAGTCGATATGTTATGGCTCCATGGGAGAGATTGTTTTCTACGAGGATGTCTTGGTGGCAGAATTGAGATTTCCTATACCCAGGTCTATCTGTCGAGTTATGAGCCACTAGTCACTTACTACAAAAAGGTTAACCCCGAATGGCTGGAGGATAATCTTGGTATTCTTTTTGCTATGGCAGTTGGTTCATGGCGAGGGTGTTTCTCCCACTTTTGAGGAGTTCTTCGCTTCATACAAGCTCTTGGATAATCCTACTCCTCATCAAGGATGGTACCACTTTGCCCCGAGGTTCGATAAGTTTATTACTGGACTACCTTCAAATTGCCATAGTTGGAGATCTTGGCTGGTTTCTTCATCGAAAGATAGTGGGTTTTCGAGGAAGACTGCAATTTAGTGCCTTTAAGATAGGACACTACTCCGAGGACCAAACTAGGTAAAGGTTTTAACTTTGATTTTATGTCTAACTATCATTTCCTTGTATTCATAGCCTGTTTGGCTCCTTTGTAGCTCTACCCATGTTATCTGCAGAGTAAGAGAGTAGGTTCTAGGCCGTACGGGATCATCCTATCAAGCAATTTACGACCCTTATGTCCGCCACAGGTCATCTTAGAGCCTCCCCTAGACAAAAAAGGGGAGGTATTTTATCCTTTCAATAAACTTTGGTGATTGCAATACTGTATATTCTTTTCCTTATACTAGTTTCATATGTACCACTATTGATAGATCGATAGTGGAGGCTCTATGTGCTTCTAGGGTTACATTTTTCTCCTTTTTAAAAGGGTGAAGGCCAATGCCCCTAGTGTCTCTCAGTGATCCAACGACCATGATATATCCTAGGAGGTTGGATTAGAGGATGCCCCTATTCTTTCTCAGCACACAACTCCTTTGAGTGTTGGGGTTAGTCCTGCTACTACTTCGAGGGTTGAGACTCATATATGGTCATCTGTCGGAACAAGAGCTCCACGTAGTCGTCTGATTTCTAGCAATGGCTCGGTTTCCATGTTGCGGGATGTGAATATGGCCAAGGAGCGGCTTTGGAGGTTTATGACAACCGTGAATATTAGAGAGGTCGGTTCTCGATGACCAGAGGGCATCATTGATAATGCGATTGAGGGCTTTGCTATGACATTCCTTTCTCCTTTTTAATTTTGATTTCTGCACTTCTTTGTTTTTCATGTTATGCCTTTTGGATCCTTGCAGGTAGCTGCTACTTTTTCATGCCTTTTTTTGAGGTCAATCAAGCTTGATGAAGCATTAAGGGATCTGGCAAAAGAGAGACAAGAATGAGAGACTACTGAAGAGCAGTTGAGGCTAGCTCATGAGAGAGCTACTCCTCTAAAGGACGAGCATTTGACATCCCGCAAGAAGGCTGCCAGGCTAAGGTTGACAGGGAGGCTACATGTGCGAGAATAGAGATAAAGTTGGGGGCATCCCGCGAGAGGGCCGCTAAAGCTAAGGCCAAGCTACGGATGGCTAGGTAGTGGACTACCATCGCAAAGGCTGACCTACGAATAGCTCGTGAGAGAGCCACCAAGTTAAAGGATCATTGCAACAAGATGGAGAGGAGGAGGGAGATTGCTAAGAGGGTCGTTGAAGGCTCTTTTATCGATGGTTATGAGGAGTTTAAGGGAAAGGCCTCAACAGCCTTCTTTGCCATTGGCTTTTCTGGTTTTGTCCCTTATGAGGCACCGGGGGCTGATGGTGAGGGAGAGAACTTTGATGAGAATGGATCAAGGAGCAGTGAATGATGTCAAAATTATGATGACTTTTATCTTTTTTTTTCTATTTTTGTTGTTAGGTCATGCTCTAACTTTTGTAAATTGTTTATAAAATTCCATTGAATGAAAGATAATTCTAGAGAAAATAACTCTTACAAAGTTTTATTTCATAATATGAAGTAACAGATAACAAAAAGAATTGATGAACCAACAATAGACAAATAAAATGAGTCACTAGCCTGTACCCCACTATTGATAATACCTTTTTACGAGATCGGCATTCCATGGATTGGCCAAGACTTTTCCTTTAAAGTTTTGAATTTTGTAGGTGTTTGATCTTATAACTTCTATCACCATATAGGGTCTTTCCCAATTAGAGCCTAATTTTCCTTCTTAATGGTCCTTGGTAGATAGGATCACTTTTTTGAGGATTAGGTTCCCAGACAAGAAAGAGCGAGGCTTCACCCTCAAGTTGTAATACTTAGTCATACAGTGCTTGTACTCCGCATTCCTAAGCGTGGCCATCTCCCTCTCTTTCTCTACCAAGTCAAGGTTGATACAGAGGCCTTCTTCGTTAGTGGCAAGGTCATAGTTTTGGACTCTAAGGGAGTGTAGCCCAATCTTGACTGGTATAACTACCTCTGTCTCATAGGCTAAGGAGAAAGGGGTTTCCTCTGTAGGGCTTCTTGGCATTGTCCGGTAAGCCCATAGTACTCCTGGGAGCTTTTCCACCCACTGCCCCTTAGCTATTTTCAATATGGTCCTCAGGTTGTTAAGGATCGTTCTGATGGTGACAGCCGCCTGCCCATTCATCTGTGGATGGGCTAGGCTGGAGTGGGGTTGCTTGATCTGTAGATCTGCACAGAAGTCATTTAGGAGTTTGTTGTCAAACTACTTGGCGTTATCACTTACTATTACATGAGGTACTCTGAACCGACATACTATGCTCTTCTGGATGAAGTCCTTCACTTTCTGGTTTGTTATTCTGGCTAAAAACTTAGTTTCTGTCCACTTTGTGAAGTAGTCAATAACTACCACCACAAATGTTCAC